TTGGGAAAAATAATAAAATCATCTGAAAATTTAGGGATAATTTTCTGCAAAATTCATGATTTTTCGAAAAATCACCAAAGATATATATTATTCAGAGAATACGTTGCTTTTCTCCAAATAGATAAATGTCTCCGAACCAGATATAAGTTTATTGAGGATTAAAATGGATACCAATATGTCTTGACACAATCATGTCTCAAAAGCTTGAAACACTGTTCTGTTTTGTTTATTTCTAGAACATCCCGATAATGTTCTGTGAGAAATATGAAGAAAATCCCTACATTCACTTAATCCGTAATTTGTCTTCTCGATTACTGATGATGCTGGAAACGGCTTTGGGGAGGAAAGGAGGCATTAGGAAAACACCATCGTGTAGGCTAATGAATAAGGGATGGAAAACTCGCCATACTAACTGTTAGATATCGGATCATGTATAAAAATAAAGGTTTTTATTGTACATTTTTTTACATGAGCTACCGACTCGTGGGAAACGGAGTTCAGTTGTGGTTTGGTTTTGGAATTAGGAATATATGTATAGTTGTGAGCCGAAAGCGTTTTATTTCATTCTAATACTTAAGAATTGACGACGAGGATATAAGAAATTCCACGTAAATTAAGTATTTCGTTAAGTGTGGCAAAGTGAGAATAAAAACATCGAACAGAAAAAACAATGGCAACAGGACTTTTTGGTTCTCTCGCTGTATTTGATCACAAAAACTCAGACTTTTCTGTGTTTAATGAACGATTGAAATAGTTTTTCATTGCAAATGAAATCAAAGAAGAAACACGGAAAAAACAATCTTAATGAATACTTTGAACGAAGAGTGCTATGTTTTGCTGCGTAATTTATGCAAAGTTGAAAAGTCTCGCTACAAATTGCAAGTTCAGTAAGGAGCAATTGAAAATAGTGTTGCGAGACATATTTGTAATTGGGATGGGAAACGAAAAAATTATGTCCCGTTTATTTGAGGAAGATGCAAGTGAAGCATTAACGTTAGCTTCCGTAGTGAAAATAGCTTTAGCAAAGGAATCCGCTATTAAAGAACAAAAAGAAGTGCAGGTGGTAGCAGTGGAAGCCGTTAGAACGAATATTAAAGTTGAAGATGTCCATTTCAGTCGTTCCCCGGAAAGCAGTAGGGTTCGCAAAGGGATAGCAGCAGGTAGGACAGGGTGTGCACAGCGAAATGTGCTTTCTTCTGGAAGT